GCTGGTATTGAACAAGAAGGATATTGGTTGCCAGGAGATGAGATTGTGAGTATAATGTCTTTGAGAAAGTAAATCACAAATTCTGGTATCTTAGCATGAAACTTGCTTTAGTTTTTATTTAAAGTTATTTATAGATGCTGTGTTGGTGCTTGTGAACAGGGAAGTAATGCACTCTTAAACTTTTTAACCTTTTCTATTCCATGGAATTCTGAGTTTTCTTCTATGAAACACTAGCAAAGTTCTTTGCTCAGTCATCCCTCACTTTTATGTAGCATTCTCTTATACAGCTGTACAGGAAGACAGTAAATATTATTGGTATTACTTGAAATCCTCAGACGTCCTCAAATCCCAAAGATGGTATCTTTAAAAAAAAAAAAAAAAAAGACAATTTTTGATTAATCTTGCTTTAATCTGAGGAGGGAAGAATTCCTCCTGTTCAAAAGTGCAACAAGAAGCTGTACATTTATATACAAACACACATGAAAAAGATATGTTTTACAAATATTTGTGAACATCACAGCATTCAGTGCAGAAAGATTTTCTCAGCAAATTAATTACAGGCATCTAGACATTGATCTGCTGGATGTGTGAAATAAATATTTAAATTGAGTTGAACAGGTTTAAAGTTAGGGAAGGGAAGAAAAGCGTGTTTTCTCTATCCCTCCATAGGGATAGGTGGAATGCACTCACAATTAGCTGAGAATAGTCCCATAGACTAGGAAAAAGCATTCACAGTTGCTTTGCCTTGTTCAGAGTGTGGCCTCTGTATTTATAAGACCACATTTTTGTAATTAAAAAAGAGAGTTTGGCAAAGCTTTAAGATACTTGAAATAGGGACTGTTACTTTGAAATATAAATTGCATTAAATACTGGTAAAATAGACAGCATTGTCTCAGACACAGGTAATAATTTAAATTTTGAGGAAAACCAGAAAAACACTGCAGGAAAATAAATTCAAAAAAACACCAAAATACTCATTGAATTATTGCAGCCATCAGTAAGTTCCTGAAAGTGAAACAGCAGAGTATTTTTTGTTTTAAAGTGAGAGAAAGTGGAAAGCAAGCAGTATCCATAACAGAAAACATTATGGCTAAAATTATCCCAGTTACACTAATTTAAAATATTGAAATATATATTTAATGTGCTTCATGTCACTGTTAAGATTCTCATTCTGATTTCATTAGAAACCCTCAAGGGAGCCTTTAAAGGGTATGTAGCTTTATTTTTACTATTGTCCCTGGGGGTAAACATTTCAAAATTCCAGTTTAGCTCTTTTAGGTGTTTCTTATGTCAGTTTTATCTACTTAGAGGTGATGTTAACTGTGTAGACTCAACAGGACATAAACTCTGAAATCTGTAGTTATTTCAAAGTATTCAGTATGTTTGTTTCCTCTATTGGAAAAAAAAAAAAAAAAAAGGAGATTCAGAATGCCTCACAATAGCCATTTCTTAAAAAGTCATTCGAAAAAATGTTCCTTCTTCTTATTAGCAACATTTGTCCAGCAAAACCTGTAAGATAACCAGCATGTAAATGCCCAGTGAGTCATGAGAGTTATGTAATTATTTTATCTCAGAATGAAAAGAATTGTCTTTGACTTGACTGAAGATGCTGCTTAAGTCACATTATGAACAGCCCTTTGGTTAGAAGTATTAACTGCATTTTCAACATGACTGCTAATCACTGATGCATTGTGCTGTGTCCATATGTCTGATGGCCATCTCAGTTGTTCAGAACACCAGTGCATACTTGACTTTACAGTTTCATGCAAAAATAGGAATCAGCTTCTGATCCAAGCCATGTTTCAACAGTACCCAACTTCTTGATCGTAATACTGAATCAAAATGATGCAGGCAGATGAAGTAAAACACATTGACTTGGTATAAATCGTTCTCTTTGTTCTTTTATTCAAAAAAGTTTAACAAGTAACAAAGTGTCATTGTCATCACTTGACACAGATCAAGTATTTTCCATTCTCCAACAACTGATGCAAAGCCATGAAGTTTGGTATGTTTTCAACATTGGACACACGGTATAGTTTTACGGATGGTTTGTCTGCACTTGATCAAGATGCAGTTTGTAGTTCTCTGTAATTCAGTACTGTTCAGATCTGGTACTAATGACTGTTGAACCATGAGCTCAAGTTACATTTCAGTGAGGGCAAACACAGAAGTCTTTTGAGAGATCCACTTGTAGGAGATAGAACTCTATGAAATAGGTCTATTAATGTTGGAACAGGGATTTCAGGCTCACCACACTTTAGCACTTACGGGCAGATCCTTGTCCCAATTGTCAAACTTGGTTTGAATGGTACTACAGGAACATGGAAAGCTCATAATGTGAAAGAGAAAGGCTTGAGAACTGATCCAACACCTATTGACATCAATAGAAAAATACCCTTGGTTTTTAGCTTGTTTTCTGGCACCACAGTGGAAGTTATTCCTGTTGTACTTCCCCCTATCTTTTATTTGAGTATTTGCTTGACATTTCTTTCAATTTTTTGAAATTTTGGACCTAAAATCTTAGCATTTTAAATCCATTTTCAAGTAAATAAATTACTGGCCCGGGCCACAGAACTGCTGAGCACCTGTATCTGTTATTTCTATAGGTGTCTGACTAGAGACTGCCACAAGGCCTGAAAGTACTGGTTTTAATGATGACTGTGGACTGATTGCTAAATGATAACAATAATTGAGAGTATACAGATTATGAAAACACAGCTGTATTTGGAAAAGATTCATTAGATAATCTGTGATGCTTACTTATGTGTTTCCAAACATTTGCCCTATCCAATAGGTTGACATAATGATAAATATATGCTGTAAGGACACGATCTCTAATAGGGTTACTCTTAGCCTTAAGAGGAATGTGTTAAAAAAATTATGCTACCTTGCTATCATTGTTCTATCAGTATGTTGAAGCTATGGTAAAAAAATGAAGCAAAATATTATATTTAGAGATACCATACAAAAGAACAAGCTGACATGCAAAGACAAAACAGTTTGAGGGCATCAGGAGGCCCTTCAAAAAAGGACAACTCATGTAAAAATGAATATTCTGAAAAACTGAAAAAGAATGATCAGATTTAAAAGAGTATAAAATTGTTCTTTTTCTCTTAGATATATGTGGGGGAAATATTTTTATATAAGTTACTAAATTTAAAATATGGAGTCAGTTGCTAAGCATACTGTATTCCAACTGATATTTTAAGGATTGGTACCTATACAAGAACTTTGCTGCAAATATTATACTTCCAGGCCTTGTGCAGGTATTCATTTTGTTTGCTCATTTGCCATCTATACAGATGTTTTGCACATTTTCAAAATGTGTTTTCATCTTACAGGCTTTCTCATCTTGCAGATGATTAATGCATTTGACACAAAATAAATGAAAGAAGAAGTTATTTTCCATTGTTATCCAGGATTTTAGTTAGGAACTCTGCATTTTCACTGTTTGTTGATGCCATTATTATGCAATTCAACAAAATCTCGGCAGCTTCTTGCCTTGCAAGGGAAATGTCAGTCCTGAAATCTGGTAATGGAAGTTTACTTTTTCTTTCTAAAAGCTTTATTTCTATTTCTCACAGAACTTGTGGAATTTGGAAGTGTTATTTATTATCAACATAAAAGAAATTATCTCCTTGCTCTTCAGGTTTAGAAAAAAAATTGCAAATCAATGTTGTTAACTATGTTTTCAATGCAGTCAATAAAATAGAAGGGAAATGTAGTTCTTGAAGAAAAGAATCATGAATCTCCTTACCTATTCATTTCTATTTCAGTTATGCCATGATTTTTATGTACCTTTATCTGTGTAAAATAGTGCTCAGTCTAATCTCAATGAAAGAAATCAAAATAAAGCACCAATGTCATGTAGCTTTATGGGGGGGTTAGATACAGTTCTTAGAGTTAGTTTGTCTTACTCATTTACATATTTTGTTATTTTTCTACAGTGTGCACGGAGCTATTTTGAGCATTTAATGTGCTAATTCTTCTCCTCCTGATTAAAGCCATAAAACTGCACTGACCCAGAGAGAGGCATTATGAATGTATAATTTCAATTTACATGTGTTCATAAAGCCAAACAATATGGTGCTCTTCTAAAATGGAGTTGTGTTAGTAACACAGGTTCATTGTTTGCATCTGAATGCGACATATCTCATAGCACTCCTGTGATTTAAAGTTCATTTATAGTGGCCAAATGCTCTAATGAGATGTGATGAGTGAGGCTTCACATTTAGTTAAGTCACTTTGAGCTATTTCTTCACTGACAAAATTTTTTTAGTTTAGTGGAGAACATGCTATTTGGAGGGGCAGTTTGCTTCCTTTCGTTTTCAGAGAACATTAGAAGTAGAGTGTGCTTTTTCCCAGCACATCCATGTATTCATAACTTGGCTAATTCATTACTGGAGATTTTCTGATACTTATATCTAGAAAGTACTGGTGCTTGCTCAAAGTGACTCCAGATACTTTCAAGTCTCAAGGCTGCCTAAATAATCCATCTCTTCACTCTGTCTGCTTTCCCATCATTTTAACCTTTGTTGTAACCCACTGCCAGCACTGTGAGTTTAGAAGGTGGTTTTGTTAACCCTAGTGACCTTAGGCACACATCCAGTGATTATTGTGATTTGATGTATTGCAGGTTCAATTTTGCTAGGATCAGTCTGTGAGAAAGGAGTATTTTGGCTGTTTCTAAATTACTTTAGATTGAGAAAAGGCTGGGTTCCCTACTTGCCATGCTTAATTGCTCTTGTATTTATATTGATTTTTCCATGCTAGTCAGTATTGATAGCCAGAAGATGTTTTTTGAACTGGCTGTGTCATCTTGAGTCTCCATAAATATGAAGGTAATTGTAAAAAGCTTAAAACGGTCACTGTGAGGGTTTGAATCTTTTCTGTACATAAAATACACTTTAAATTAAAAAAAAAAAAAACAAAAAACAAACAAACAAACAAACAAACAAACAAAAAACCAAACAAAACCAGAAATAAAAACAAACCTTAAACCAAAACCAACCTACATAGCTACCAGTTATTGCTAGCAAACTATGGGCTTCTAACTAGGCTGAGGAATAGTTGTAATGTACATTCCATTAATTTCAGTTAGATGCAGAAGGGTAATCTGAAACAGCAATGGTGACAGCCAGTGCATTCATTATGAAAACTCTTACAACTAGAGAGCACAAAGAGGAAGAACATGTCACACCAAATGACGAAAAATTTTGTTTGGTGTTTTAAAAATTCTCCATTTGTCTTATCCATCCATATTGCCTTTAATCTGAAGTCCTGTGTGAATTCGCTGGTCCAAACATAGCCCAAACCATGATAGTTACTATTTCTCACATATTGTAAGAAATTGAGGATTTTCCAGGCTGGAACATTCCAGATAGATTCCTAATTATTGTGAAAGTACCAGTGTTCTTTACATTTGGTGATTCACTGATACAAAGAGTTAATGAATGATCCTGGTGGAGAGAAAAGTTCAGACTGGCTTCCATCTCTTATTCCACACCTCGGGGAGAGTATAAGGAGGCTTTGAGGGTCAGGCCACATAACAGTCTGGTCACACGAGAGCATGGAGGGGAAATGAGCTTCTGGAGCTCTTTAAATCTCTCTTCTGTCTATCTTTCCATCCTCTAAGGTCCCATTATTCAGAGCTTATTTTGCCAAGAGACTGCCACCATATCTATCCACTGTGTGTTAAAAGCAATGATTTTTCTTGCAAATTATTATCATGGTGTGCACTAGTGTAAAATTCTGCTTATTAATTAACCAAAAATTAGTGTCCACTAGTGTAATATCCTGCTGTAGATTTGTGAAAGTTCAGAAAAGCAAGTATTTTCAAATTGACAAATCAAAGCTTCCTTGAGAAGCAAATTAGAATTCTGAAATCCCACCTCACAGACAAGAAATTTTTGCTGTATTAAAGCCAAAACCCTCCTTTGCCTTTCGATTAAGGCTATTAGCATGCAGCTCATGAGAATGGCCTCACTGCCATTTCAGTGGCTCTTCCTGTCTCCAGATGGGTTAAGAATCATGAACAATTTTCTGCATTCCTTTTCCAACCTTGTTTTTCTCTTCCCATCTGTTCAGGAGTATTTCTTCCTCTCCTTTTCTCATCCTTATTTTTCATCCCCTAGAAAGGAGCTCATGCTGTTTGGAGGATCTTCATATTACCGAAGATGACACTAGTAGAGTCCATCTTACTGCATACCTAAGAGATGATGATGCTTTTAAACTGGTAAAACAACTCATCAGCATCTTCACTTGTCTTTCCTGGCTTTGCCAACTTGACTTTCAAAAATGCAGTCAGTGTAATGCTGTATTCTTTAAGGCTTTCACTGGCTCTTCGGTAGTTGAGATACTGATGATGTTGTTCACAGATTTCACAAAATGTTTTTTTCTGATTGAAAGGGTGTTTTGAAGAATGATAATTTACTTATGGGTTTTAAAGTAAACTAGTCAAACTAGTCTGTATAAAGCTTCTATCATGGGACTTAAATTATGCTAATGGACTAGATGACATATATAAGTCCATCATAAGTTTGTTCTGAAAATATGCATTTTGGTTTTTTCCACCTCTTTTGTGCCAACCCTGAACTAGTAGTGTTGTTCTTTTAAAACTTTGTGGGTTCAAAATGCTCTGCATCTCTGGCAACTGTTTTGAATTATTACGTCATGCTGGTCACTGAATGAAACTTCATTGAAGCTGATGGGCTTATTAATATTCATGCTTCACTTATAATAAATCCAGGCCTCATGCCATTATATCACTGACAGCTGAGACAGTACCAGCCACACCTACAGCACAGGGGACATGGACAAGACGTTGGAGATTTAAGTGAAGTGTGTAGGAGGTTCTGCTGTTGGTTCAGATAAAATGTTTCTCTGTGTGCAGAAACATCAACCTAGAAACACACTACAAAATTCTGTGGAGAAAATAAGGCCAGAAAAGCAATGTAAATGTATTTTTAAAAAGAAGAGGGGAGGGGGACCCCTTCTGTGCATAGTTGTTCATGGAAGAAGACTTGGAACTACAAGCAAAGAGATTTCTTTCTGGTCTGGATTAATCCTCTTTCTAGGGGAACAAAACCTTCACATACATAATGTGGAAATAAAAGGTACTGCACCTAATAAATACTTCACTCCATCACTGATTTATCTTCCTAATGAAAATAGCCTACAAACCTCCTCTTGGCTCAACCTGAGTAAAAAATGGTGACATTAATAGCAGAAGCAAATCCAGATTCTGAGGAGATAAGTTGAAAGTTTCTATTAACCTTGAACTCACTTGGAATGTGAAGAAAGAAAATATTTTTATTTGAAACTATTTTCTGTTTCTGATATCCTGGAGAATACTTGTATTGTCTCACCTCAAATAATGTAAACTACTGCTACTCAAACATGATCTTCTTGGGAGGGAAACTGAGATTTATTCATTACTTCAGGAACACATCTTATAAGGCTGAGAAGACAAGTGTGACAGGGGTTTTAGCAGTCATTTTGTCTGCTGGCATGCTACTACACTTCTTGAAATAACTTCACTTCTTTAGCTCTGGGAGCTAGAGACTGGCTTTATAATTTGGAGCCTATCACCCTGAATTTCCAGAACATAACTACAAGGTAGGAGAGGGAATAAAAATCTACCTATCTTGGCAGGAATCCAGAGAAGACTTTGGTGGTTTCTGCCAGAAACAGAAGACTTCTAAGACAAACTGGCAATAAATTAATTAGACAAACTTAGACTTGCAGATTAAACTCAAAGAAAGCAAGCCAAAAGTATTCTGAGAGGCTGTGGAATTCACTGCAGAACCTGAATCTTCTTGCATCAGTGCATCAGAAGAGGAAGCAGTTATCAGTGAAGAAAATGGAAATGGATTATCACGAGCCTAAAAATATGTCTGTGTTTAATATGCACTATGGAGAAGGAGATTTGGGTCTGTCTCCTGACTGAAGGTTTTATGTTGGTTCTTTTTAGAATAAAACTGGTTTCTAAAATGAGAGAAATCAAAACTAATGTAAGAAAAAAGTTAATTGCCAAGTTTATGAAAATCTTGGCCATAATAAATAAAAGTAATTGAAATTAAGCAAGATGCCTAGGTAGGTGTGAGGACATATGAACTCGTAATTGCTTTGGATTTCTTTGTGGTAAAATATGAGTACTACTGAATACCTACAAAGTGTCCAACAGAGTCAGTTTATGGAAATCCATTTTAAAGCTGAAGCCCAAGTCATCAAAGGAAAGGATCTATAAAGGCAACTGATTTGCAATGGACAGATTATCCTGTCTGCAAAAGCACACATCATTGTAGCTACCTGCTGTGGTAGTTTTCTAGAAGAGGGAAGAGAAGATAAAGTGAAACAATTTTTGTAAAGGGATTCTAGCTGCTGAAGTCTTTTTGGTTTTGAAAGAGAGATGGATGCTTGTTTATTTGCTGAGCACTTTTGATGAGCAAAAGCAGTAGGAAAAAAACAAATGCAAAACAGGAGGCAATGTATCTAGTAAATACATATATACAAGGAAACTACAGGGGAGAAAATAAGCTTATTTTGATACTGAATTTACTCTAATGTATTACTCTAACATTAGATGTAAAACATGGGATGATCTAAGAAACTTTGTCATTGTAAAGTAATCATCCTGATCAAGCATGGATCCTGTAGAGCAGTGATAAAAGGGCAATACTTTTATTAAACAGCTAGCTCACCATTTACCTGCTGCAAAGATGGCGTAAGTCCTCTGAGACATCAAGGAATTAATCATGCCTTCCTCACTTCGGAGCCTAACCTATCATTCTGATGAAAAGATAAAAGCAGATTCAGTGGGCTACTGAAAGCAAGTTTACAGAAGGGTTCATGCTCAATAAGGAATAGATGGAGCCAGGGATGTTGTGGCATGAAGAGAAGGCTGACCCAAAGTGCAGGAGTAGGACTGCCCTCACAGCAGGCTAGGACCTCTGGTGAAAAACGTACACAGTGTTCCCACTGTGTTTGAAAAAATACTGGGAATGGTGTTTCATGAGACATCATGTTTGTTCGACCCACGTAGTATTTGATGCATGCTAGTGTCTGAGTGAAAACCAATACATCTGCCAAAGATCCGTGATAAGCTGAAGATCTCTTACTAGCTACTGTACCCAAGAAGATACAGCCTGTTTAAGAAAGAAGCCAGTGTGCACATAGAAGATGCACATACTAGTTTTCCTCTGAAAAAAAAAGGACTATGCCTCCAATATGTCCAGCTCTACATATCAACAGCCACATTTTGTAAAACTCCTCTTATTACAGAGCAGTTACTTGGAAGTTCAACAGTATTGCTAAATCAGTGGATAGATAGGCAAGGGGAAACATTTCAAAGCTGAGCACGGTTTAGCATTTCCACAGTTCTTAAGGGCTCTTTAACCACTGCCTTTGTCTGAGCCTGTTTCAGACTGTCTTTTGTATGGAGCACAGATTCTGATATACTTTCAGAGAAGTATGGGTGAACAGACAAATAATTTAAGTGTACAGTAGCTACTTACAGCAAATGTATAAGAAGCATTTCCTTCAGGTTTTGTACTGGAGAATAGGAGTGCACATAGATAGTGCAACCCCACAGTGGTTTGCTATATTCGAGTGCAAAATGCACTGCAGAGTTTTGACAATTACCTGTAGTAATGCTCATGTTCAATCAAGAAAGCTTTGATGAGAACAGATGCCTGAAAAAGACCAAAAGGAACTGATTGATTAAGAATAGCAAATGTGTTTAGAAAGAAATAGATGCTGCTTTGTTTAATATGAATGGGGGCATAGGTTCCTGCAGCATACTGTGAGACCTCTTAAGGAGAGGACTTGGATACCAGAGAAGCATGATGGTATGGTAGATACACTCATGATAGAGTGCAGTACCACCACTTGTTATTATAGTAAAAGCTTTTCATTTACCAGCAGAAAGTTTGAAATATGAAAGATTAAGTACAGAAAATAAGAATTACTTCCCAACAGCAGACAATGATGTATGCAGGTTACAAAACCTAAATCAAAATGAAAGATGTGAAAAAAAGTAATGTATAATTCTTGTGGGAGGCATTTCTTTCAGTGCATCTGTCTACTTGATATGGACTGGTAGTCAACTTTGTGGGTTTCAGTGAAGAGTTACTGAAAGCCAACAAAGAAACCTTAGCAGCAGAATCCCAAGATTTTGAAAGCTTCTCAGCTGAAGGTAGGAAAGTTGAAAGAATTCTAATGTTAAAGCTGATGGAGGTGGGAAAGAAAGAAAGAAAGAAAGAAGTGTTCATTATGGCTGTTCCCAAATCCTAAAATACCAGAATCCAGAACATTTGCCTCAGAAATTGTATCTTCAAACAGGGCATGGTCTATCTCATTAGATGTCAAAGAAATGAGAATCCGAGGAATGGTAGGAACTCATTCATTGAGATCCTTTACAGTTTTCTAAAGGGTTATGAAATAGTCAGGAAAAGATTATACCAAAGTTTTGGGCTGGTGATTTGAAAACATCTTGAAATAGATACAGCATGCAAATACTACTATTTTTTAATAGTTTCTATTTTGTAAATTACTTCTTATTGCGGGGATGAACCTTATTGCCATTCCAGATTCCACCACTGTGACAGACCAAAAGTGTTGATACGAAACAGTGGGTGAAATCTACTGGGTATCTGCTAGTACTCTTCTTTTAGACTAAATGTGAAAAACTGTTTTAAGTTCTTTATCTGCTAGACAGCTGGACCTCTAGGGACCGTTAAGGCAGGGCTGACAATAGGTTTGCGCACAGGTGGGTTTGAATGAAAATCCAGTGATCTGGAAGGAACTGTGTGTGCATGAGTGTGGATGAGAGATACAGAGAAACACCACAGCAGTGCATACAAAAGCAGCAGAGAAACTCTGGAGAAGCACTTGAAACAGAACACCTGGGAAAAAAGAGTCCAAAGAGTGCTATGGGACAAGTGCCACACAGGAAATGCTGGGAACCATGAGCTCCATGGAAAAAGCTTTCCTTCATTTGCGTCATATTGAATTTAGGACAACAGAACTGTATGTATACTATACATAAATAAACATGATTGCGCCAAAGAGATAACTGACTTATAATTGTCTTTCCCTTCTATGTGACCCTTTTTTTTTTTTTTAGCTTACTGGTTGGGTCCAAAGGATATCCATAATTTGGATGGTTTGGGAAATCTAGTTCAACAGTGTGAAACCAGCAAATCCCCGTAAAGGGGAGTTTCATGAATAGAGTTTTGCCTTTTTTCCCCCTCCCTTTTCCTCTCTCCACCTGATAGTAGAGTGGCTTAATACCGAGTATCTTGGCTACCATTAAGGGACTTGGAGAAAACAGATTATCAGGTAAGAAATGAGCTATGTTATGGATATGCATTATAAAAAGGCAAAATGGTCCTTTTAGACAAAGTCTGAGAAAGAGGTTATATTGTTTTCATGTGCTATGCCTACATATAATTTATAGGAAAATTAAAATTTACTAATTGTTTTTACTTTTTTTTTTTACAATAATTATGGTCTTGCTAAGGTATGGAAGTGACCTAATAGTTACAATTGTGACCTCTAAGTTATTGTTAATTTTACTGTCAGTATGTGCTTCACATCTCCTACTTAATGGTATGCTAATTGTACAGCAGGATGTCACATTCTCCAACATACAGATTCCCTATTTCAATTACAGCTAAGTAAATCTCCATTACTAATGAGTAAGCATTTCTTTTCCATGTACATTTGCATTATAATGGACATTTTCTTTATGCGCTAAAATTATTCTTTCCTTGACAACAACTATATATTTTATTCTACAGTAAAGGCTACGACATGATGATTCATTCCTTTCTCTTGGGTTTATCTGTATTTAAATTGTCAAATGTTCTCGATAGCCTGACATTTTCTGTCCCATGTTATTTTTCTGTACTTCCAGAATAAATTTATGTATTTGCTTTAAGACAACCTACTTAAGACAAATCACAAAAAAAGTAAGCTTACGTGTCGGTCATAAATTAAGCTGTATTTTTGAATATGTTGCATTGTTTCATTCATGTTGCTGAGAAATCTGAACTGTTTATGTCAGTGCAAAGTGACCTTTATGATATAATGTTTGACTGATTTGAATATAAAGAAAAGGGACCACAAGTGACCCATATCACTGCAAGATCCCACTCTGCTTAACAGAGCATAGCTCTTTGGCTATTAAATACAATCCCCCAAACAGACATTTGCTGCCCTGCTGATGCATTTCTCTACAGATGCAACGGGCAGCTGAGTAAAATGAAGGGGGAAAGCCTCCTGTTACATCTGAGCTATGCAGCTTTGCTGCCAAATCTGCTCCCTCTTGGGGGTTGTGGCCAGTCACTGGGTGCTGCTGAACTGCTGAACTTGGGCAGCCGGGTGCTGCCGGCAGAGGATTCCCTTCGTCTGCCAGCACCGTGACATGAGAGGCTTTCCCTGCCCTGCATCAGGAAAAAAAGATACTGGCAAATTGAGTCCCTGTGGCGGAGATCCTTCCTTCATTCCGCATGGCCCCAGGAAAATATATCACCTTTTATACACAAATAAGGACTGTGAGTTTTATTGATAAAGTGATAGCTTAATCTTTGACAATATGCAGCAAAGAAGGTGTTGCTTTGATTTTGGTGAGGCTATTCCCTATGCAGTAAATTATGTTATAGGGATCTTTTTTTAGATGCCCAAAGAAGGTTTATATATCAAAGAGAGTGCATTAATTAACAATTATTAATATTCTTGACAATTTCTTAGTTGGCCTGGTGGTGGGTGTGTATATGGGGAAGAAGATGGGTGTTGGGCTCTTTTAATGATATAAGCACATGGGATATTTTAAAGAAAAAATGTGGTGAAAGCGTTGGGTAGCATTCCAGAAATGCAGGAGGAAATGTATGCAACCAAATGTTAGAAGTAACAGATTGATTTCCTGGTCACTGTGCATGAATTCTTTCTAGCCTTGTGTATATCCTGATAATCGGATGGCTTACAGTATAGATACAAAGTTTGTTTTGTTTTTATTTTGAAAGGCCTACGGTATGCAGCCTTTTTCCCAGACAGCAGCAAAAAACAAGGTGAACAATTTTTGCACTATGTGGTTTTGAATTCTGTCATATTTTCTATTACGTTTCTGTCTTCCATTAGGATAGCTTAGTTTACTATATTAACCACCACCATCATCCATATCACTTCCAATTCTGAGTTTAGTCTACATTAATGTATGTATGTAGTTTGATGATTTTTTCTCTCTCCTGGGGGCTGGAAGTGGTTACTCACTTGTTACAGTTCAAGATGTTGTTACAATGGTTGCCCTTTAATCAGTCATTTTCGGAGTGGCTGATGACACCTGGTGGTGTATTTTGTAAATGCAGACTTAACCGTGTTTGCAGCAGGCGGAGAATTTTGACCTGTCCTACCCCGAGCACTGACAGTCAGAGTCTGAGCTATTTAAATGAATCTGATCTGCATTAAAAAAATATGTTGGGAGCACATCCTCCTCCCATTCAAACTTATGTAAACCAAGAGAAGCAATAACACTTCATTGCTGTTGGAGCAAAATTAATGCCTCTGACCTTGCTGTTGGTCGATAGTGTAGTTGTTCACAAGGGCTATCTACCTTTTTTATTTTCCTTATTAACTTGACAAATATATTGCATAAATTAATGGTTTATATATATTTATGCACTAAATATACTGCATTAAAGTAAAAATCTTTTCTGTGAAAAACCTGTGTGATTATACTTAGAAGTAATGATGTTTTCAAAACTTTACAGTGTGAATACTGAAGGAAGCTTCTTCTGGTGTTTTATTTATTGTCATGGTTTCTGGCTTGAGTGTATGATTTTTCTTGCCAGCAAGTATATTTCCGTACATTTATGAAATTCCACATCCCTTTGCCAGCATATTTCCTAACAATGGAATATCTGGGATATACCAATAAGTAACTCATATGAAAAAAAAATTAAGACTCCTGGAATCCTGATTCTGTGTTGAAATTCCTCAGTACCCAGGATCTATTGGGGTCTTTGATTTTATCTGGATAGATCTTTAATCAAAAATGATTCTTTTTCTTGCTTAATTGGCCCTTCACTGCCATCTGATTTTTTTTTTTAGTTTCATAAAGAAGATAAATATGAGAGAATATAAGATAAATACAAAGCAATACTTTATCCTGGTTTTTTTTCAGTCTACAGGCAAATCAAGTACATCGACAATGCAGTATCTTTAGTTGTTTCTAAAGTATCTTAAAGAAAGCTCCCAAAGTGCACTGCCACTGGACTTTGTGGAAGGGGAAAGTGTTCATGAAACAAGAATGTGTTCTTTATAGACAAATCTGGTGCTATTATTGTGCCAGTCTGAGACATACAGAATTGGCAAGTAAAACTAGATTAGGAAAAATAATAGAAGAGTCAAGTTACACTGTTAATCTGAACAACAAAGGAGGGCAAAGTTCTGAGTTCAAAAATCATCAGTTAAGGGTTGTTTGGTGTTTTTTCTTTCCCCTAAACTTATTGCTCCTGCAGTTCAGTGTTGATGGTATATAAACTTTAGTGTAGGCAGTCCAGGTTGAGGATGTCCCTAAATCTCTATATTCATGGGGGCTGTGGTCAGATGAATTATGTATGCAACACGGCTGCTCTTCAGCATAAGGGACTCGAAGTGACACTTCTGTGTAGCACTTCCTACACTGCTCTGTTGGAGGAGACTTCTCACACAAGGACTTAATGACCATAGTTCCCAAGCATGGGAAAATGAGAATTGGACATATGCCAGTTCTGGCAGTTGGTGGGAATTGCTAACTCCACCTTTATAACATGACATTAAAAACACCTTGATCAGATTTTTGTCAGGACAATTTATTGAAGAATAGGAGTAATTTTTTCAGAGGTCTGAACCCATTGAAAAGTGACATTTGACATGAAAAGGCATTGGGAGTTTTATCTGAGGTATGACAGCTATTTTGTCTTCTAGGTATAGGGAAAAGTGTGGCATTTCAGCTAACAAACACAAACATTTAATGGTGGCCACTGGCAATTCTGTCTGGTTTTAGTACTATAGATTCCTAGAGCAAAATTCTACCTCCAAATTATATGCATGCTGCTCTCATTTACTTCAGCAAAGCTTGTGCACATGTTTCAAAGGTTAGAATTTGGCCATTGGGGCTGAATTTTCAAGGAAGAATGTATTAAAGACATCTGTGCATCAGCAGAACCATATCCTTTGTCTTCTGTAGAACATTTCAGGATAAGCCTAGTGCTATGGGGCACTGCAAGTGAAACATTTTTTACTTTTTGAATTGCATTGGGATTGCTTAGGAGAAACATTTCTTGCAGTAATAGATTCATAATTTCATTTATTTCTTGCAACTCAACATTTTGATGCTGAAAAGTTGTCAGTTTTAAGAGAATAAAGACTGGAAGGGACTGCCCTTCAGAAAATTACAGTTCAAAATATACTGTAACCAAACAAGGAGAAATAGTCCAAGGAAATAGGTGTGGTCTGTTGAGGTGCACAAACCTTTGTTTGTAGTCTAATGCAGAGAGGTCAACAAGTGTTTTACACAAAGGTAGAAAACAAACCCACTTTTCATTGTGGACAGAGCTCGTATTTGAAATTGTTACTAATCAGACACTTGAAAAAACTAAAACTTGGCATTCATATTCTATTGGAGTTAGTGTGTATTAAATTGATTAAGATCTTTAAGCGTGTAGGTTTTCCCCTGTTTTTTAAACATTATACACTTCTTAAAATGTTTATAATGTCTAATTGCTGCTGGATTTCAAGACATATCAATTTTGTTCTTAGTTCCTGCAGATTTTGACAGAATGTCATACCAAAATATTTTGTATTTTTTGTAGGACTGGGAAACAGAAAATCATGACTGGTATTGTTTTGAATGCCATTTGCCTGGAGAGGTGTTGATATGTGACCTGTGTTTTCGTGTGTATCATTCCAAGTGTTTGTCTGATGAGTTCAGGCTTAGAGACAGCAGTAGTCACTGGCAGTGCCCAGTTTGCAGGGTGAGTACCTATGAGATTTCATGTGCTGATTAGAGGATTGATATTCATTAATAGATTCATTAAGGTGTCCAGATGGTCTGGCAGGTTAATGGATAAAGAACTGAATATTGAAATGATGGTACATACCTAGAGCATCTATGCAGAGATACCAAAATATGATGCATGTAGCAGATGGTCATTTTTGAAGACCCCAGCAAGCTTTACTTATGCATTTGAGCGCACACAGTATACTGTGTGGGAATGTGTGTATGTGTGTATGCCGTGTGTGAATGCAGTATATTGTGGAAATATTCAACATGAGTAAACAAATTGCTGTGTAAGATGCTACTGTTTTTACTTAACATCTTTTTAATGAATCGTAACCTTTTTGTATTTTGATGACTGCATACCTAGTATTTTATTTGAATCATATTTTACATTTTAAAGCCACAATCATGTTACTGATGAGGGCAGTATCAAAAAATATGGAGTGAAATCCTGCTTCTCATTTCATTTGTGGATTCTATTGGTGCAAAAAGACCAATCTGGATTTCACCCATAATATCCATATCTATATAGTTTTTTCTTTAAAATTGCTATTCTTATGAGTATGGTAGGGAGACGACAAAGAGTATTTTTTATTTCCTTTCCACAAATAAGCAGGTATGTTGTCTGCATGTCATTAGAAGATTAAACATTCTAGTCAGGATGGTGCTTACTGGTACCTGGCCTTGAATCAGAGAGATACTTCTTACTCTTGTCATCTCTGCATCACCTCCCCCAGCGGAGCACATTCCTAGTCTTCCTTAAATGGAGGGACTAATGCATGCGAATGTTTAAGATAAAAATATTGCTATAGAAAGGCATAAAACTGCCAGTTGCACTCTGCCTTGGATTGCTGGAGGGAGAGGAAGTTCCCTTGCTTAGATCTAACTGTATCGCAGCAGACTGACCTTCAGATGATCTGTGCTGCAAGGAATGTAGTTCAGGCGCTTCGCAGTACAGAGATGCAGTTTTTGAAAACAAGTAGATTTCTTTGTTTCAAAACAGCACTTTCTGGCTGCTGTTACCTTAGAACAAGTTGTAAAAAAGCTGTTGCCTCAAATTGGAAGCTCTCAAGGTTTAGGGAAATAGCAAGAAAATCAAGCCCACCTCAAGGAAACGGAAAGGAATGAACAAGAAATAGTGTCAGGGAAAAAACAGTTAAGAATAAGGACATGTACTGTATCCCTCCGTATTGAATTACTGAAATTTAATTTGTCTATTCAATATTCCCTCTGTTAAAAACAGAGAATGACAATATATAGGTGACTTGCTTTCAGATTTTTAAATTAATCTCTTTGATAATTGTTGGTTCTCACAATAAATATTGTTAGTTCTTATAAGTAGTTAAAATTACATAAACTGGATCCAGTCTCCTCTCTAGTTTGCCACTAATTTTAGATGACACCTGGTGAGAGTAGGGAATTTAAATGGTTTAAACCACCTTGTGTATGAGGTGGTTTATAACATCTGTCTTGTAACATGGATGTTGTCAGAGTGGAAATGCTGAATCATCACATGAAATATGCACAGGTACATAGGATGGTCAGCTTTGAGAACAGTTTGACTTTCATCCTGGAGCCTTTAAATCCTTTATGGCAATGATATTAAACAAAGATTTACCTTGAGAAAAGTCCTGTGAAACTCAGACCATGTGCACTGTGCCTGTCTTTCTGCATATTGGTTCCCATTTTGTTATACAAAATTAAGGAGAGATTGGGGGGGGCGAGGGGGGATGTTGTGTCTTAAATACTTCCTGCCCCAGAGATCTTTGGCTTGCTCAGTGCTCCAGATAACGATGAACTTCTTTTTGTGAATATTGCCATTTTGAATGCCATGGCATCTTTTTTCCCCGTGCTGGCAGTTCTTGTTTTCCTTGTGATTAATCCAAATCACTTCAAGTCCTAAGTCTGCAAACTTGGACTAAGGAGGCTTGCACAGTCCCTGTAAGCAAAGGAGGTCTAGTTTGGCATGGGAGTTAGCATCCTCATGTCAGGCTTCAGTATTCTTCCACTACTTTCTCCCCACCTTCCTAGGAGATGACTGCTCTCATTTTAGTTTAAAAGCAGGAGAGGCCTGTATTCAGAAAACTATGGTAATTTGGAGAGCCCTGGCTGATGTCCAGAGGACATAACAGAGCTTAACTATCTTGCATAAGGGCAATGGGATTTACTTTGCATTATCAGCAGTAAATATGTACGTTCAAGAAAAGTAATAGATGGGACAAAGAGATGCATATGTTTTCATACTTTATTCTTGTAAGTGGACATAGCACTTTTCACCTGGGGATTTCAAAGGTCTATACAAAGGTGAAGTAAAAGTATGTTTGAAACCTAATATATTGGGAAAAATAATCTAAGAACACTTCATTCTTATGTAAAGATTGCTTCTGTAATGCTGCCAAGGTCAGCAAGCCTTTGGATTATTCATTTCACAATTGCTGGTTGTACTAGTTCAATCAACCTGTGCAGCTTTATCTTGCACACTTGACTACTCAGAAACATTCTATAAAGGACATTGCCAAGGATTTGTTCATAACTTTAAAATATTTTTCCTCCCATAACGTTTATAACAGTCCCTTGCAAACCTTTCTCTGAACTCTTGTTTTCCTGCTGGTGGTTTTTCTCCCCTGCATCCATAAGCAAGAGTGTCCAATGCCTGGCTTTTTTTTTAACTTGACGGTACCATTCTGAATATTTTGTACCCTACATAATTCTCAGCAGGAGTCGAGAGTCAACCAAAGTTCAATTCAAACCACATTGCATTGGTTGAAAATTTTCCCTGTCTGCTGACTAATCATTGTCTTAAGTGAAATAAATTGGTATTATCAGCAAAATTCCTGGTAGACAGGTCATAAAAGAAAGACTCATATCGAATGAATTTAGAGATTACATTCCCCACTACTGTAATGTTCCATTCAAGACAGGGTTAGTCAACTCAGTCTCTGAACAATGCAGGAGACTTATGCTCTTTGGTTAGATAAAAGGAAATTAATTTTCTCCAGCTGTTAATTTAGCACCTAAAGACTACAGCATGTACTGCAAAAATGCTAGTGGTTTTTTTGGGGAGGAATATATATATATAGAGAGAGAATTCTGAATAGGAGGATACTGATCACATGTTGGGGTAACTGACTTTTATTATTTATTTTTTTTAAAATTAAAATTTTAGAATAATTTTAATAGAAAGGAAAAATTATGCATGGTGACATATAGTTTGTCACAGAGGAATAGTTTTGGTTTGTGAAACAAAAATAAATAATTATTCGTATTGTTTCACTTGGCTTCTAAATTTTTTACAATCATCTGATCAGAAATTGATCTTCCATGCATGTGTTTTGCAAAGAATTATAACCAATTTATCTATCATAGTGGGGTTTTCAATATTTCTGGTTTTTATATATATGAGAGTAAAACAAACTGTAGAGCTTAAGATAATAAATGCTGTGCTGATAACTATTCTATAAATAGGCTATTTCTGAGTTCTGGTACTGTACTAAGCATTTCATAGAGTACATAAAAATACATCATCATGCAGTTCACAATCAACTTTAGACAATTTGACAAGCGAGAATGACAAACAGAAAGTTAGAAGCACAGAAAGATGAAGGTTACTTAAGTGAAGTAACTCGAATACTTAGATCGGGGATTTTAGGTACTAGCTGTCAGTCAAGATGGGTAATGTAAAATACAAGAAAGGAAGAAAGAATAGGGCTCTATTGACTTACTTTATGGGGTGTTATGGTAGGAGTTTGTTAGATAACTGTATGATGAAACATATTCTATAAACAGTATTTAGCATAATCACACAAATAGTAGCCATGGATAGATGTAGAATAATAGCCTAGTATAGTACCAATATTAGCACCACATGGTTCAGTGTGCAGAGCCCACACCTGGGGAGGTGTTAATGCTTGACAAGTCCCTCCCATTCACCTTGCAGCCACAGGCACCCTTGAGTAAATCAGGGAGGCGACAGAACTGCGCACTGCATAAGGCATGTTAATAGCATGTAAAGGAATTTGTCCACAGCAGTAAGAAAACTGGGAAACCTCCACTTAGAGCCTCCTACCACCTTCTCTGTGCATGTAAAAGCATATTTAATTCACATGATGCTTCATATGCAGAAGGTGCTTAATGCACCAAACAAGTACAAACCAATTTGTGGATTAGCTATAACATTTCCAAAAGCACCTAATGCTTTGAAAAGTTTAGTTTAACTGTATATGGCCTTGCAAGAGGCAGGTCTCATGCCATGTTCTGCTCATGCAGATCCTTTTCTGTGTGCTGCTTAGGGCATACAGCAGACTGGTTGCTCTGAGGCCCATCCTGTGTGCCTACATATCTTTCTTAGTGGTATAAGAAACCTCCGCATCTTAGGGTTGGAAGTTTGAGAAGGCAGAAGAGCAGTAAAGCTTTCCATATATAGCACAAATTCCTCTGGAAATTTAAGCCCTACAAAAATCCCAAGGGCTGGTGGGTAAAGCGAGCAGTTTCTAAAGAGCAGTGGTGAATGTGTGTTAAACTCTTGCACATAGTTCCCCTCTGCAGATAGAAACCTGGAAACCTGAATTGCTTCTGAAAATGTTACTGGTGTCTTAGAAACATATATCTGTCACTGAGCAGCCTTCACCTACTCCAGTCACTGAACTGAAATGGAGCTCTTTCATGTGTGTATACACATAGCAGTTGAGAGAGGAAGGGGAAAAAAAAAATTGTTAATGGGAGATTGTAGGGAAACCTCTTTACATGAAGAAAATATAATTTAAATGCTTATAGCATATAACCATATGTGCTGGCACTAACACCTTGCATTTCTTAGAGTTTCTCTTTTTTTCTCTTCAAGTGAAAGATTGCAGAAACTGCAGCATAATGACCATTGTCACCCTGGGAATTGAGAGCTACATGCTAACTCAGGGTGCAAAGGATAGTCACTTCCATCATAAATGGTGCTACTGCAGGATGGAGCATTTCTTGGCAGCACCCCTAGCTGCTGCTAACCTCGTGTGGGTTCGTAAAGTCTTGTAGTGAATTCCTGCACTATAAGTATGTCAGAATTACTAAGTAAGTTACACCTGCACAGTGCAATATATTGCTACCTTATTTAACATCTAAGCAGTATTATTAATCTGGGATATTGAATATAAACAGCAATGTAAATCCAACCTTCAGGTACCAGCTTCTAAGAAATAGATGTGCTGCAGAGAATAAAGCATATATAAGGTATTTCCTGCACCCACAAGTAAAGAATTAGGTTGCAGCCTTGGCCTTCCACCTACCAGATCCCATTAATCTTCTACATGAGGACTGCTGTTGTGAAGGTTATTACCTCACTCCTACATCCCCTATGTAAACATGTATTCCTGACCGAGCCTTTCAGTTTACCTTGATTAAAAGCAGAAGGGTTGCAGATTTCTCTAAAAAATGGTTTGACTTAGGATCATCCTTGTTGTGGGTTAACCCTGCTAGGCAGATAAGCACCACACAACTGCTCTCTCACTTCTCCCCAACTCCCAGTGGGACAGAGGAAGAGAAAAGAAAGCATAAACACAAGAAAACTTTTGGGTTGAGATAAAAATTGTTTAATGGAAGAAGCGAGAAAAAAAACAAGTGATGCAAAGGCACTCACCACCCTCAATGGGTAGACTGATTCCCAGCCAATTCCCAAGCAAAGGATGGCTAACCAACCCCCTTAAATCCCCTCCTCTCCTTTTCTGTTGCTGAGGAGGTGTGTTACTGAAAAATTATGCATTTTTCATTATAGCTCCCAAAGAGTGTGTAAGTGGTACCTCCTAAAGGGCTAATCTTTGTTGAAAAGTGAATGAAGCGGTTGGATTATAACTTGCTTTCTACAAAGGGTGAGCAACCTCACCATAAAAAGACATTTTGCTGGCTCATAGGCTCCAATTCCCTAAATTTATTACCTTTCAACATTTAGTAGAGGAACCTGGAGATCAGATTTTTCTTAAAATAAATCAGTGTAGGGAATTGAAGGAAAAGTGGAGAAATTCAAGTTTGCCTGAATTGGCAAATTAATGACAACATTTTCATTGGTGCTTAAGATAATATTAATTGCTGACATCAATAACGATACAAAGCCAGCTATCTATCTATCTTTTCTTACAATCTGAAGGATAAGATAAACTATCCATCTCAACACAGTCTCTTACAAACTGTCTTGCCCAGCAGGGCATGAAAAACTGTTCACATGAATTCTGAAATACTTTCAAAGGATGATAAATTCAGAACCATGTCAGAAAAAGAAGTGTAAAAGGACTAGTCAGTGCAAGTGGGTTTTATTGTCTCCTAATAAGTCTCAGTCTTTTTAAATGCTGTGTCATTAGCAAGCACACAGCACTCCAGTGCCTAAAATGACAAAATGACAGCAGCATTTCATAATGCAGATAATTTAATGCACATTTGAGTTTGCATTTGCAGTAGCGATTTTGGTTTGTGCAAAACTGAATAGGTGAATTGAATTCCAGCAGAATGCACGTTCTCACACAGACAAAGTAACATGAATACACAGAAGGTGATTCAGACATACAGTGCAGGATAAAATTCTATCTCATTCCAGAATTTGAAAGGAAGATCAGGGAACCATTAATATTATGAAAATAATGCTTAAATGCACTGTGAATGTTAGCAAGACCTGGTGCTGGCCCTTTCCCTAGTATTGAGTTTTACCCACCAGTGGTAGTGTCTTGTCAGGAAAAAGCTATGGTGTTTCAGCACAGTTTGTAATAATTCTATACATACTGTTAAGCCATTAAATAAAGAGTTCCATTGGTAGTGCTGTGTACAATTTTTATTTAAGAAGGAGGTAGTAAGTCAATCCCTTGACGTGCAGGTTGCACAGTTGCTGTAGCACAAGGGCCAGCCTGTGATTTTCAGTGTCTTCAGTGTCTTGCAGGAGGTATATAAGTAGAGGAAACACAATCAAATCTTAGCATGGTTTTTTTTTGCGCTAATGTGTAATTTTTACTCTTGCCAAGTAAATATGTAAAAGTAGTTGCTCTGTATTCAATGTGTCTGCTCCCTCTATATGTTCAGAGTCATATATAAGTAATTCAGTAAAAAATAGCACACTTCTAGTGATTAATAATTCATGAGCCTCCTACCTCTTTTAGCTACCTATTAGGACATGGATTCTGTTTTTTCTTGTGTTTGCTAAGCAACAGTAATCTGCACAATCATGTGGATCTTGCTAAAGACCATCAAAATTTGAGGACGCAGATGTAGCTGAGCCAGTTTGGTCCACGCAGTTTGCATACAGGTGGTGATGTGAGGCATGAGAAGGGGAGAATTCAGCTTGGCACTCAATGCATTCCAAGGTGTGAGGAGGAATAAAGGTTTTTGCAAAAGCTGTGAACATTTAGAAGGCACTTCAGGATAATAAACCTGGAACTCATGCTGTTGATTCACTGTGGTTTTGTTTTGGAGAGCTACTGTAGGCAAGAGCAAGGAGATAGCACTTTTCAGCCAGCTGTTGTAAGGCCATGCAGAACTGTGCACAGCTGCTGTGACCTGGAATTGGAAAGGCTGGTTTGTAAGAGCATGCTAGGCATTTTCAGAGAGCCACCTTCTCTTTAGCAATGGATTTTCTTTATGCAGTGCTTCCCACTAGCCTGGATGGACTTTGAAGTATGGGAATAAGTTTCTATACTAGTCTAAGATGAGGGGGAAAAACTCTGGATCCTGAAATGATAAAAAGAAGCAGTCTGTGTTCCAGAATCTGGCTTAGATTTTGTGAAGGAAGAACCACAGAAATCAACAATAGTTATGTTTCTCAAGCAGTAAAAAGTGCTCTGAGTTTTTATTGGCTAGAGCCTATTTGACTTCCTTCTAAACTGTGTCAATTTGCCTAGTAAGCACATAATTTGTAGATAGCACAGGATATTCTTTTAAAAATAATGTCTTCTTTTACTGAAAATATTAGTGCCTTGCTAATAAAAAGTCCATTAAATAAATTCTAAACTGCTCCCTAAAATGCCTTTCTTCATTGTCTTATTCTAATTGACACTTCTTTACATGAGAGGTTTTTGACAAAGTATTATGGATACATGTGGAAGTAAAACCTGTAACTCCTGAATTCCTCAGCCCAGACGTAATTCAAAGCAACATACATTATGGTTGTGATGTGTTAGCGTTACTAATTTCCCAGAAAAGATTTTCCCTAAAAAATTGTGTGATCTGATTCAAAGTTACCTTTTCAAATAATGCTGTGATACAGAGAAAATTTTTATTGAATGAATTTTGAAGTCAAGTTTAAAATAATAATATGATCCTATTTTTCTTTGACAGAGTATCAAGAAGAAAAACACAAGTAAACAAGAGATGAGCACATACCTGCGATTCATAGTCTCTCGTATGAAGGAGCGGGTGAGTCTGAAACAGGGAAGTTTATCAGAGTGTTGGGTTGCACTGTAGAGGATGCATTACGGTTGGCCATGTGTGACTGCAGAGAAGAGGGCTACAGGAAGGTGTCATTTTATTTCCCCTGTCATAAGTGGTGTGTGTATTTCCACGTACACTTATATCAGGTCTCATTGCTCGGATTAGTATCATTCTGACAGGAGTAGTTTATGCCATGAACCTGTGGCTCCTCTGAAATGGACATTTTTGAGGTTTGAAATACATGTCATCTATCAGATTGTGGATCCACAGTTTGGCCTTGTGTATTCCCCACCTGAAATATTACATTTTTTAATCTATTTTTTTGTGCTTTAAGCAGATTCTAAATGCAGTATCTAACACACTCTCATGGTCCTTTCAGGCTATAGATCTAAACAAGAAAGGGAAGGACAACAAACACCCAATGTATAGAAGGCTGGTGCACTCAGCTGTTGATGTTCCTACTATACAGGAGGTAGAGTGACTTGCTTTCTAACTTCCATAATGTTTATGGTGCCTTTTAACAGGGAAGATAAACCTTAAGGACTCAAGCACTAATCCTGTTTATTTCTCCTTATGACTATTGTATCCCACATTGGATTTGGGAGCTTAGAACTTCAGACTTTTCCTCATAAATTGGTAACTGAGTAAAACCATTTTGAGAGGTGCCTAGTTTTCAGACATAGAGTATCCTGAATTCCTTTTGTACTAAGGTTTTACTAGGAGCTGTAGGTAGCTGAAATCTTTAGAGAAAGTACCCTTTATGTAAGTCATTGAATATGGACTCGAGAGCTTATGTTTGCGTATCTGGCCCAATGCTTTTGACCATGTTCCAATTTTAGTTATTATGCCCTTGTGTAGGTGTCAGCTTTATAAACATGTAAATGATTCATAAAGAACCAATCATTTTGTTGATCATGAAAAAACAAGATTCACTTAAAACATCTGTTTTGCATTAATTTTTCCAAAAATAAAGTACTAGTAAATGCATTATCCTTTTTTCTGAACCAAAGTTCTGATGATGACTCATGTAAATCAGTGGCACATGACCAAAATGAACAGCATATTCTTTATTCATTGCTGGAACTGGATTACTATGCAGTGCTGTAGTATATCTTGCCCTTTACAACCATAGATGTGAAAAGCCTTTGTTTTATTATTGTTGTTGAAACACATGGATAAACAATAGCTTCCACTGACAGTTTTGGAGACCAACACAACTGGCTGGCTTGAAGTACTGGCAACACTGGTTGAGCCTGAAAATAGGTCAGGCCTTCCTTTTACTGTGACACCTTCACCTGCTTCCACAAAAGGTCTTTTGACCTTGATAACATCCTAGAAACTGATGATGTTTGATGATTGGAATTCTCATAGGTGTTCTTGACAGAGCACAACTGAAAATGCTGCATTCTTTATCAGACAAAAGACCATACTAGGAAAATACACTGCATGGCTCCATGTAGGTGTTTGCTATGAGTTTGGAAGACTAAGACAATCAGCCTTCATCAGAAAACACTGACTGTCATATGAAGATCCTGGAAGTATAACATTGATTTAAAACTAGCTGGTATTTTAAGGTACAAAATCTTCACGTCACGGAATATATTTTAACTTGAACAAGTGTTCTGGGCCACACTTTATGATGAAGCTACTCCAGATTTACCCTGTTATAACCAAGAGAATTTTTTTTTAAAACTTAGTCAAGTATTAAAGCACCTATTTACCTCTGGACATTGCATAAAGGGACCAGTGCAGCCAATGTTCAGATACTAACAAACCATGCCAAAGAGTTGTAAGTATTCCTTCTGTATGCAGGAAAGGCAGTGTCTGATCTGTGTTGAATAATGCAGATTTCTGTGGAAGCTTCTCTGCATAAAACAGGTATAGCACTTAGACATTTTTTCACAGTCCTGTTTTCTTTTGTGTAGAAAGTAAATGAAGGAAAGTACAGGAGTTATGAGGAGTTCAAAGCAGATGCTCAGCTGCTTCTACACAACACAGTGATTTTCTATGGAGGTAAAGTACTACATTTACTGCTTGCTTTATTTGGTTTATCTTTATCAGCAGGATAATCACAAGTTCAGGATTGAATTTGGTATTACATAGTCTTAAGTGTGGATGAGGTCATTTTAGAACCCTTAAAAATCCAAGTAAGCTGCAAGAGGACTTTGAAGGGTCTTTTCTAGCCCACCTACTACACGATTATTTTCATCTTCTCTGGCTAAACCTGTTTGTGGGAATTTACACTTTTGCCGCACTGTTTCTTCTGCAGCCTAAGTCATAAGTCAGTCTGGACTGCAGATTTCTGCCAGTATACTTCTGTTGGTTTGGGTGGAAAGAGGTTTGATCTCTGCTATGCTGTGTCAGCAGAAACATGTACTATAGACACGTATTTTTCACTTGTGGGCAATATCTGCGGTATTGTGACAGCAAAGATAGCTACACCCACACTAGAAGTGTCCTGCTGGTGCAGCCATTAGAAAAGCTGCCAGCCACTGGGAAGGTATTAAGTGACTGATACGGTGGAACAGTCTGACTGGAAGTGGAAAGACACCATCACCATGTCCAGAAGCTATAACCAGGTCCTGTAACAGGGTTCTCCAGAGCCATCATTTCAGGAAGGATGTGATTCTTCCCTTCAGACACAGCTCACTTCAGGGAAACTGGGAGGACAGTGGGACCAGTCTGTTTGCAGCATCAGAAGACCCACAGTGTCACTGGTAGAGAGAGATGTGAATGTGCTGATGGAGAAATACACAGGTGTAAAGGGAAACACATAATGATAAATAATCTGTGAAGCATTACTCTCAGCAGAAATGCTTATGTGATTGTACCTGTGTTCCTGTCAAATGGTGATAGCAGAGAGCCATGTTTTAGGACAATTGCAGTGTGTCATTAAGACACTAGCAGAGAAAGCAACTGGATCCATATTAGGAGCAACCCTGACTCCCTGATACTGCTCCTCAGATGTGTACTTGTATTGTTCAATTGAAAAGCTCCCAACAGTGATTTTGCATATAAATAGGAAAGAGAAAACAAATATAGAACTGATTGTTAGAAAATTTTAAATGGAAGGGTTATCCAAGTGACTAAATTATGTTTTGTATTCTCAAGCAAGACAATTATAGCATGAAAGTCATAGCAATGACAGCTGCAAATCTTTGTGTGCACTGTGATCATACCGTGATTGTTCATACCATCTTTTTTAATTTATAGCGGACAGTGAACAAGCTGATATAGCAAGGATGCTTTACAAAGACACATGTCATGAAGTAAGTAGTACTAAGTAACGAAGATGTGAATAAGATACTTGACTTTTATTTCAGAATCTAAGAAAATTATTCTTCATATTACAAAAATAAAAAGGGTGAGAAGTTTAATATAAATTTTCCCTTTCTAAGAGCTGATTCAGAATTCCTTTTTCTTTTCTTTTGCAACGAAACTATTTCAAAAATTCTGATATTCAAATATTAGTTTTGAAAATTATCTACTAATATATAGTTTTAATATAAATTGAACCTGAGGTGAGATTCCTACCAAATTCCGTAGCTGGCAATGAAACATTTCTCAACATTCAGAGGAGACCAGAAAATAAAGCTAGGGGAGCTGTCACACTTTTGTACAGGTGAATGACTTCTTTCAGAATGTACTTTAAATATTTGATTAATTTAGAGAACTATTCTTTACATTTTAGCTATAATAAATCATTAAGAGTTGAATTGGTCTCCTCCTTCTGCCTTATTTTTCTAAAATATCAATAACATTTCTGCAGCTTGTAATTTATCCACTCTCAGCTCACCTCAGTTTCACACCTCTAGTTTGCACAGACAGAAGTAACTCTACCAAATTAGCAAGCAGAGTTGAAAAATCTTGATACTCAAGAGAAAGGGATACTTCTGAAGACATGTAAATAGGATTTTTTTTACTTATTTACCTTTTTTTGTTTTTCAGCTGGATGAACTGCAGCTTTGCAAGAACTGTTTCTATTTGTCAAATGCGCGACCTGACAATTGGTTCTGCTATCCTTGTGTAAGTTGCTGACTCAGATTTTCATTTGTTTGCCTTTCTGTATAAAAGCCTGCAGTTTTGGTGTCATTAATGCATTGACTATTACATTTCAGTAGGCTTGTTTCAAAAGCATGTTAAGATTCTGTAAGCCTAGATATTTTACACAAGTGAAACATTGATTGAAGTTCAAAGCTGTAATACTATAGGTTATAAAACTTGGTTATCAGCCAGTTACAGCAGTCTCAGAAGAAAATAAGGAGCTTACAGAAGTAAAACTTTGCTCCTGGATGAAGCTATAAAATAGACAAGTTTAAATTTTGGGTTGCTTAAGATCTCTGTTTTCAATAAACAGTTACACCCTTTTCAGACTTTGTATTTTTTTACTTTGATACAAGCAGTACATCTAACAGAGAAATATATATTGTAAGAAGATAAAAATGAAAATAACACTAGACATAAGCAGTGACCATATTCCTAAGATACTAGCATAGTATTACAGCAAAGTATTTGTGGGAGATATCAGTATAATACTTCATATCCAATAATAAATACAACATTTTTTCCAGATACCTAATCATGAGTTGGTTTGGGCCAAAATGAAAGGCTTTGGGTTTTGGCCAGCCAAAGTCATGCAGAAAGAGGACAATCAAGTTGATGTTCGCTTTTTTGGCCATCACCACCAAAGGTAATTTATTAGTTCCATGTGCTTCTTATTACAAACAATACTTACAAGAATTTATCTCATCTATCATGTTGTAATTCCTGGCTCAGCTAGTTGCCAACATTAGAAAGACTGAGTACTTTGCCATAATTGTTTCAGAAAATTTGAAGCTCAGTCTAACACATCCAAAGTTACCAAATGGCTCAGAGATTCCCTTTCCACAGTTGCTGTAGGGAATGTTACTTAATGCCATTTTAATTAAAGGAAATGAACTTCAACTGTTTCTTCAAATCAGTAGCAGCCTGCTGATCCAAGGCAAGGTGAAAATTGGACAGAAATGTACTCTTACTTATCAGCAGTATTGACTTTGTGCAATTTTCTCTTCTGAGCAGGCACGTTGCAATTTTGTGTTTTAGTAACATAATATACATCACAAGTGTTTCTGTCTCACTGCTAGAACATTGACAGAGCTCCTGCTGTGAGCCAGTTTGCAATTTCAGAGAATAACTCTTTACATTGGAAACTTCACTCTTAGAGATCAGCTTTTACTTCCATCTCCAGATGTTTGTTCAGCATTTGGGGAGGGTTATCGTAGTGTTAGTAGAGTGGATGTACTGACTTTTTTTTTTTTACTGTTTGATTTATGTAATGTGAGGAGAGGAGACATTTGCAAAGTAATTCATGGTTGTTGGGAAGGTGGTATATTTTGGTGCATCCCAAAAGGGTCTAGACAATTGAGTAACAGTATTTTATGAGGCTGTTTATTTAAATTGCTTTTAGTGTAACTTGCACAGTATATAACATGTTTTCATTTGTTATATGAACTACCAAGATTTTCTAATGGGCATTAATTGGGTAAAGGATCTCTGTTTGTGTCTCAATCACAGAATGATTTACCTTGAATCTGTTTGCAAATACATCTTATCTCATGAGTAGTTTTGGCATTAAATTCACACAGCTTCAAACTATTTAATAAAGTAACATGACGCTTGTGGGATGAGGTTCTTGCAATGTCTTAAACATGTGCTGATAGAAAAGGCAAAGTACATTTTACTAGCATGCCATTGCTTAGTTACTGTGCCTGACTTGGACAAAAGGCCAGTTTCCTGGTTGGTATAGATTAGCATTGTTTGTTTGACTTCACTGAAATGAAATTTATTCTGTAAGAATTGAGAATCTGTCTGCAGACATTTAATTTGTTACAGTTATTTACTCTGTTATGTAGATGTCCATGGAAGTGACTCTTTAATGTCCAATGTTGCTTGGTATAACCTTTCAAAATGTCAAGAGCTGCCCATATAACTCTATGAGGACTCTCTGAAAATATTTAAGCGACAAAGTACCTCTGGAACCAAGTCACTGGCATGAATTCAGTCCAAAAGAGCATAAAGTCCCCGCATGATTTCACTACTGACAGACAGAGCCCCTAACTAAAAAATGACTCTATTTGAGGTGATAGTTTGGTACATTCCTTGACAGTTTTAGCAAAGAGGTCAAGGGTTAAATTGGATTAGCATACGAACCTTGGGTAAAGATGTCTCCATGTCTGATTTGGGGCATCTAGCAAGAGAGCAGGTAGGAGATGTGACTGCTGTTGGTGCTGGGGGAGGTTTGTGGCTCACCAAAAATGAAAAAGATTCAGCCATAGCACCCACTGCTAACAAGTGCTTATAGTAACACAAGTGTCTAATTGTATGCAGTCTGTTTTTTTCCAAATGTGTTGAATATACAAAAATTCTGAGTACAAAAGAATTGTCAGTGATCAGCCGCTGTGAAAAACTGTTTCTGAAGTCCGTTTCTCAGGTCAGGATCCTTCATCTGTATTCAGTGTTTCTGAACCTGTCTGTACTGTGTATTCAAAAGGGCCTGGATCCCCTCTGAAAACATTCAAGATATCACAGTGAACATCCATCGGCTGCACGTGAAACGCAGTATGGGGTGGAAGAAGGCCTGTGATGAGCTGGAACTGCACCAGCGTTTTCTTCGTGAGGGGAGATTCTGGAAATCAAAGAATGAAGATAAAGGGGAAGAGGAGGCAGAGTCAAGTATCTCTTCTACCAGCAATGAGCAGGCAAGTGCTGCCACAATGTTAGCAATCAAGGCAATTTATTAAAGGGTACAAAGATGATGTTTTTGGTTAATCCACTATTAAATTAGCCTTGTGCTTTGTCTGCAGTTTTGTGGTGACAAGAATAGGGTTCAAAGGCTTATTTTCCCTATGTTTTATAGCTCAGTAATAGCAAGAATATAGAGTTTTCCTCTTTCCTCAGTTTCTTGGACGACCTCTAGGAAGTTTCAAAATGTTTGTCACCTACAGCACCTTGAAGAGGCAGACCAAGATTTCTAAAGTTAAATAGGAATGTTCAAGTTAAATGTCATGGATATCAGATAGACTGCAACACTGCCTTCTTGGACTCCTATCAAGGGACAGCCCTGTAGCTGTTCAGCCTTTTCACAGCTGGAGTGTGTTCACTTTGAACTGCATTCTGCATTACAGATTCCCAAGTAACACCAATCATGATGTTTTCAGCAAGTCCAACTAAAGTTAGGTGGAAATGTTGCACTTGATGACCATTGACCAGCAACTGATTAAAGTAATTAAAAATCATTCTGCAAAACAAGAATAATTATATTGCTTTAACAAAGGTGAAAAGCACAAGGGCCAAGATACAAAACTTTGCACTGCCGTATGCAAATTCCCTTATCATGGCTGAACCTAGCCATTCATTGTCCAAAAGGGGGTTATATATTTACTATTACTGACTTGGAAGTAAGATTTTCACAGCTTGCAGGATGTTTCTCTGTATTTTTGCCAGCCTTTGCCCTGGCAACATCTTCTTTCCTCATTTAAAAGCACTATCCTCTCTCTAAGTCTGTATTTTTAAAAATCAGCATATTTTGACCCTCTTCCTTTGCCCTTTTGTACCTGAAAACTTGAAAGCTTATAAAAGTGGATGTTGCTTTAAGGGGATGCTCCTTAGCAAAGTAGGTTTAGGTTTTTTAGCCTGTTTTACTTAACTAACCCTATACAGGTCCTTTATTTAATATTGTGTATGCAGTGATGCAACATGTATGATGAAACAGGAAAACACCCACAAATTGTATTTACGAAAAATAACAGTGGCATTTTCCCATTTTTTTCAGAATGTCAGTCATATGGTTCGAAGTGGCCATTTACATATTTTCTGTTCCACCCGAACTCTTCATCTTTCACTTGGTTAATTCTTATCCCTGTTTCACTGGTTTCCCAGATACAGGAACATAAGAGTAGCTGTCCAAGTCAGTGCTTTTCAGTATCCTGTCACTAACACTAGCTGTGTTAGCACTAAATGCTTCAAAGGCAGGAGTAAGAACTTTTCTGTAAGCCATTATAAGATAATATACCATCCCCTTTGATATTATCCTTGTTTCTATTGCTGGAGATTGGCTTTTATTCTAAAGCATGAATTTTCATATCACTTCAAGTTATAATCAATTATAGCAAGTCTGGGTAATCTTACCATCTTTACATATATACATTATAATTATTGCTGTTTTCTGGTTTCCAGAAAGATCTTCTTCCTAGTTATGGGTCACTGATATCAGAATATTCCAGAAAACAAGTGTTTGAACTTGTGTGTGAAATGAAGAAAAGAATGGTTAAGGGTATTTTAGCAAATACATTTTGAATGTTAGACCTTGTTCATGAATTTTGTTCCTTCATGCAATCATAGTCATAGGTGATCATATGGAAAGTTTATTGTGTGCACTTCTTATTTAAGAACAGTATTGAATTTTCTGTTTGCTAAATTACACAATTGCAAATAATCACAAATAGAAGGTACATCAGACATGTCACAGTGAATGCTACTTATATGAACTGACTTTTGGAATTATTCAGTATGTTTTTCTTAATGTTCACAGCTGAAGGTTACTCAGGAACCAAGAGCAAAGAAAGGACGACGTAACCAGAGTATGGAACTCAAGAAAGAAGTAAGTAATCTCACTTACTATGTTTGTAGAGATAGTGAAGTACAAAAAGTCTGAAATTATAATAGACAGTCCCCTCAATTTCTGTCACCTTTTACTTATTCATAGTATTCATCTTGGAAGTTCCAGCCCCTTAGTTTGGTCCTCCTTGCTAACAAACATAATTATACATCCCACATGCAAGCCACTGGTGTCATCGTAATCATATTCTGTATCACGAATAAATCAACCATCAAATTACAACATTTTTTTTTAATGAAAAATGTAGTCTAGTTAGTCAGTGTATAAACATCAGAAATTAGAAAGTATTTTGCATGATCAAGAATATTAAGTTTAGAAAATGTTGTATTCACCTTTGTCCATGAAATTTTCTTGTTTATCCAACTTGCACACTGAACAATCACGTAACCAAGGGACTGTATTACTCTGCTTGTACACAAGGGGGCAGTTGCTGAGACACAGCCATAATCTCGTATTTCCTAACTTTTGAGTATTTTTTCCTGGCTCGTTTCAGCTGCATGTTGAACACTAAGAAAAAGTATGCACATATGCACAGTCCTCGGAAGAGGACTCAGGACTCCATTACAGAGAAGGGTTCAGGTATTTTAGCACCAGAGTTCTGTGGGATGGCCCTGGTGCCTGAAATACAGACACTGTCACTCTGGGCACCTGCCTTCCCATTGTATCTGATACCGCAGGAGGCACCTTCATCTGTGGAGGCCGTGACACACAGTTTGTGCTCCCTGGGGCACAAACTATATTTGACAGGGAGACTACAGTTTAGGATGTCTCATCGTTTTTATAGTGTTTTCTGTCAAACAAATGCTGTGATTTGCTTTATACATTTATGTCTTAACATTTACCTCTTAGGTCTGCTCATATTTGACCAGTGATCCAGAAGTCAATCACAGTGACCTATTAGAGAGTAATTGGTTGCAAAAGGGAATACAGAATCAGCCTTTTGATTGGTGTGAGCAGTGCCCCATCACACAGACAGGCACAAAGTCCAGTCCTGAGCAGGTCCAGTGTTACAAGAACTGCATGCTTTACCTGTACACGGTTAAATGAGCTTTGGAAATCCAAGTTTAAAAAAAGCAAAATAATGTTCATCTGTGTCTTCAGACACTTCAAATGTCACCAAGAGTTTGCAGGAATATTACTTACATCTGTTCTAAAGAGCACAAGCAATTGGTGTTACAGGGTAATAGCACAGGCAGCTGCATTCACTACAGTACATTACAGTAACTATGATTTCTTTCTTGATAATTGTGTAATTACAGAAAGCTTCTGTGGTCATCCAAGTCTAGTTCTATATTATTGGAAACAAGACTTAGACGCTCATTAGCCTTTCATCTTCAAAGCACCTTTGAAGTACTAATCAATCTGCAGCAGTTCTATGAAATCAGTGAAATATTACAGATTCCAGTGCAGCCTGTTGGGCCAGAGTAAGCCCAGAGTCTGCCAAAACAATTCAGGCACCTTGGGCATGCAGCAACAGTCTCTTTGGGGAGAATGGTAGGGGGAAGAAATCTATGGCAACCCTTTAGTAGTCCCAAGAGATCTGCAGGGAGTCAGCATCGCTTCTGATGGTGGTTGTACTTTTTGGGAAGAGAAGCTGGTGAGCGTGGCATACTAATGCCATGCTTGTGCTTCCTTCTGGAGGGCTCCTAGCTGAAGTCAGAAAAGCCTGACCAAAGAGTCTACCCACTGTCATGTTGGTTTTCCTCAGGGATCCCACGTCCCATTAGCACTAAAAGTCTTCAACAGACACCTTTCACATTAATTGCGCTGACATTAGTCATGTAACATATTTTTCTCCATGGGGAACTGAAAGTTAACTTGTTCTGTTTTGATATCTGGATTTACAAGTTTTTTCTTTCTCTGTAGGAGCCAGAACCTGAAACTGAAGCAGTAAGTTCAAGCCAGGAAATTCCCACAATGCCTCAGCCCATTGAAAAAGTTTCAGTCTCAACTCAGACCAAGAAGTTAAGTGCCTCTTCTCCAAAAATGCTGCATCGGAGCACCCAGACAAGTAATGATGGAGTGTGTCAGAACATGTGCCATGACAAATACACCAAAATCTTTAATGATTTCAAGGACAGGATGAAAGCTGATCACAAAAGAGAAACTGAGAGAGTTGTGCGAGAGGCAGTGGAAAAGGTAACACTTGTCGAACACCACCTACACTCCGGTTTGAGGAGAGGAGGAGTGTGGATTTTTTTCACATTCTTTTCTATTTTTGTGACATCCACCCTTAAGAAAATGAATAAAAAACCTTTACTAAGAGATCACATAAAAATAGACTTCATTACTGCTTTTTAGACTATTTCTGTACCAGCAGACCTTAGTTTAAACAGAAGACTCATGCTTTTTTTGATTCTTGTCCAGTTTGTGATCCAAAAAATGAAACTAATTGTTCATTCATGAGTATCCATTTCCAAAGCCTTTGTCTTCATTGTCGAGTGTGGTTGTAAACGATGGCATTGTTTAAAGGCTGTTCATAAATAATTCTTTTGTCAGTCTTCTGACCTAAACATTAAATAGATTCACCGAAATTTGTTTGAGTTTTCTTCTCTAATGATAACCTGTTAAATTCAGTATCTAAGCCTGAGCTTAATCCTGTAGAATTAAGACACCAGACTTTTAGATAACTGAGCAGGGGCAAAGGAAACCCACTGGCAGTTAGTCTTAAAGGTACCTCTTACTGAACTCAGGGATGTTCTATTTTGTAATTCTGTTGTGTCCTTGCTGTGATTTATGTGCAGTTATAGGTTTGGAAAAGACAAAATCTTTGTCTAAAATAAATTCATAAATTTGTAAACATCGTTGACAAAATATACATGGAACCTATTTAGCTGCTTTTGAAGATGCCTAGCAGAACAGAAATATGGTAGCATTTTTATTTTGGATGGTTGTTTTGTTATAACTCAAGAGAACTTTTTGGTTTCTGAATAGGAGAAGTCTCTGATTATGTGACCTCCACCCACATCAGTAATGGAGGTTTAAAGAGTAGGGGTTTAAAGAAGATACTTTTATTCCAATAGTTGTCCATTGACTTGTTTTGCTGACTTTCTCATGGCAGCTGCGTACGGAGATGGAAGAAGAGAAAAGGCAGGCTGTAAATAAAGCTGTGGCCAATGCACAAGGAGAGATGGACAGAAAATGTAAGCAGGTAAAGGAGAAGTGCAAAGAAGAATTTTTAGAAGAAATTAAGAAGCTAGCAGGCCAGCACAAGCAACTGATTTCCCAGACCAAGAAGAAGCAGTGGGTAAGTGTCAAAAATTTCTTACAAGACAATAAGTGGAAATGCATTATGAATACTTCAGGGCAATTGAAGGTGTTTTCTTCCTTATTTTAACTACACCACTCTTTCACTGGTCTTTCAGCTTTAAGGTTTTCTCCTTCATGTTACTGCTTTCAAAGTTTTTGAACCTTCAAATTTCAACCTGATGTACTGATTACTTTCCATCTTAATTATGTAGTGTTAACAGCACCGTCTTCTTGAGTCCAACCAGATGTTAGTATCAAAATATTTTTTTCTAAATGCAGTTTTACTCCATATAAGACATATTTTGCATTGTGTTCACACTCCTTTGATGTCAAGGCCCTGGAGGATACAATACCTGGCTGCATCAATTTGGATTCCCCTGCTAATAATACTGGTAGTGATATCCTTTTGGCCTTTTCCTCTCCTAGCTTCTTCAGCTCTTTTATGTTCTTTTGTATTTAAGACATGACTGTCTAAATACGTTTCGCTCCCTTGTTCAGTCCTTTAGTCCAAATCTGCAGCATTGCCTGGGAAAACCATGTTCATTTACCCTTTAGAAAAGTGAAAACAGACATGATAGACATCTAATTTACCATTCCATTACATACTGCAAACTTTTCCTGGTTTTGTTTGGTTTGTGTCTCCTGTTTTCTTTTTAAGTCAGAAGTTTGTTCTCCCACATGTCTGTACAGCATCTACTCAAACACTGCGAGTACTATAATTCTGTGCTGCTAGCCTCTAGCAGAATAAGGGTGGAAACTGCTACACTGAGGAGCAGTGAGCCTGGCACACATAGAAACTTCGCTATTCCCTTGCTAATTTTTCACAGAACAAGGAAATCAAAGTCATTGTTCAGGAAATCACACTGCACTGTAATGGCGATCTCTAACATACAGGAGGGTGGGTACAAGATTTTCTGCTAGCCTCCTTTTGAGCTTTGTTTTTGCTGTATGCAGTTGAGCAGCACACGGGTGCCTTGCCACAAGATGGCACGCGGGTCTGAGCTGCAATGGACAGCCACTGCCACCCACCGACAGCCAGCCCTGGCCCCGACCCCAGCTCCTGTTTGTCTTCTGCTGTAAAGGGCTGTTTGTTTATGTTCAGCCTCATTAGTCCTCGTTCTTATAGATGAAACCGTGGTCCCTGCAGAGAAATCTCTGCTCTGTAGAAGAATGAAATAAATAGTAAGGTGAGATAATCTGCTGATGACTATCACAGTCACAAGTCTGGGTTTTTTTGCAAAGAGAAGAATTACTTCAAATGCCGGAGCTTCCGTAGAGTCTTAATTTCTTTTCCTGATAGAGATTTTACTGTGGGTTTTATGACAGTGCAGTGCTTGGGTCTTTGTCAGGTAGAAAATTCCTCCCTGTCTACCTATCTCTGCAGACCAGAGAAGTTACTTAGGTCTCCGACTTGATCGAGTTACTGTGTTTAATGAGTCACCAGCTGCTGATGGCTTCATGCATGCTCTTGCCTGTGGCACCTGAGAGGGAAAGTGAATTGCCCACTATAGAGCTACGTCAAATTATCTCTCTTCTGTCAAAAGTTAAGAGTGCATATATGAACTGTTACCGCCATTCAGCCGATACGCATAAACTCGATCACAGTAACTTGATAATGAGTCTGGACTCTTAGCTATAGCTGCTTTTTGGTGGTTTTGAAGGCAGAATTTATGGAAGAGACTCCTGAGACTCTTTCATCTGTTCCACTGCCTTTGCCATATACTTTAGCCTAGTCAGAGAGCACACTGATAGCACATCAATGCATCTTATGATCATGTGCATAAAGCCTCTTTCTGAGCAAGACAATTAAATATATAAAGAGTATTTGACAGTCTTCCCCATTTCTGTGGCCCCAGAACTATCTGTCATTCACCACTTTAAATGAAGGCATCATACAGGCAGCTGTTTTGCATGTGGTGGGAGAGGGAGGGTGAGGATAAACACCTTTGCATTCAAGCTGATGGATCTGCCTGCCAACACACAGCCTCAGGCGGCTGGAGTTGGTCCAATTACACAACTCCCCAGTGATTTTTCCTTCAGTGGTACTAATGACAGTCCCTGGTGTGTAGTACTGCTCTTGTATGCTGCTATTATAATGATACCTCCTTACCAAAATCTCATGTAATTAACACACATACTAAATGAGTTTTGGTGGCTTTGCTTTTTAATTAGGAGCAGAGACCTATGGTTTTGTGTAATGCAGATGTCTAGGCTTGGGAATAGAGCTGCTATTATTCATGTTATATTTGTCTTTTTCTCATACCTAAAAAAAAAAAATATGGTCAGGATGAAGGGATCATTTTGCTGGTGGTGTACAGGCACATGAGAAGATTCACACGCAGCCCTCAGGAGCATAACTCATAGTTAAAGAACAAAGTTTTCTGTTGCTCTAACGGGTCACAGTCCCCTTGACTTAACCCAATTTCATTTTTATACCTCCAGAAAATTTGTATTTAATACAGATACTTCATACAGCAAATGAAAGGAAGAAACGTAAAGTCAGGGATCATGAGATTATGCAGTTTGATGACCTCCAGAATACAGGCTAGAGTGCTGCTCTTGACAATGTTTCTTTTTAAATTTCTCACAGTTCTTTTACTTGCATACAAGCCTCATTTAAATTGGTGCATAGTTCATTTTTATAGATAATTTTTAACTTCTGTAGCTTCCAATTATAGTCACATGTATATTTATTCTGAATTGCAACAGGTTGTTTTTATGTGAATGAGCACTGTCCATGATGTGTACTGTCTGAAACGAAATCCCAAGTGATTGATAATGTTTAGAAAGACAAAATACAAAGAAAAGAGGAGGCCTGAGGCCAGCTGGCATTTTGCCTTCTCTGCCACATGTGCTGGTACCAACTTAGATGACACTATTTTCCTTATGTGAGTGGAGATTTACACCCCATGCTTATGGCCAGCACATGTAAAGGCAAGTGCAGGACTCACAGATCAGTTGTCCTCTCCTGTCTTAACTTTTTTTGATCTCTCCAAGCAAGCAGATGTGAAGCTGGTCTCTGGGCTGAGGCCTATGCTGTACATAATGGAGATGCACAGCTGTTCCCTGCACCTTTCCAGCAGATGATCCTAATAGTTCCCACAGGCTTGTGGGCAGCCAACAACATGAAAAAACAGGAAAACAGCTCTTGAGAGGACACTTGTTTTCAGACATTTCTACAAATAAACTTCCCTGGAGCTAAGTTATAAAAGGAAAATGGAGAGGTTCCCTTCTCATGCAGCTAGGGAAGCCCCTTTATTGCTGATGTAAATAAAGAGCTGTTGGTTTAGCCAATGTAAATGTCGGTTTTCTTGGATCTGTCTTTTAGTAGTGTGTAGGGTTGTGGTTTGGTTTTGTTTTAGGGCAGTTGGGTTTGTTTTCTTTGTAGTTCTTTGTTTTATTAACAGTGCTGTAGCTAGAGAGGATATAAAAAGTAAATTGTGTGTTATTCTGTGCTTTGATAGCAGCCTGCACAGACTGTGTGATATCCCTCCCTCTGTTCCCCCTCATGCAATAAGCATTTCAGACTGGATTCAGAAAGATGCTCTGATTTTGAGCAGACTATATTCAGAAGGACAAATCTGAGATCATTAGAACCTGGCTTTCAATGGCACTGCGTGTAAGTGGTTCTTTTGGCACTAATGCTGGCCTGCCTTACAGGATTTTGTCAGAATGATAGTTAATGCATTTGCAGCATTCCCTTAAGTGGTATAAAACCACCTGGAGCTAGGGCACATTGCCTGTCTGGGTGCCCTAGCTCCTTGCTGACCATCCGTAGTGTCAACCAGCATGCTGATTCCCTTTTTTTTCAGTTCCTCGGAGGCCATGTGGTTATTTTCCAGGTAGCTCTTCCAGCTGCCATGAAACAGGAGGCATTCTGTGTGTTCTGGGATAGAACCCCTCTTTGCTACAGCATTCCGCAGAACCAAGTATTTCTGCAGAAATCATGGGCTGTGCAGCATCTCTTTCTGTCAGGTGTTTTGTGCCATCCTGGCAGCCATGACAAAAGGCAAGAGCCCATGAGGCCATCCTGTGTGTGACAGGCTGCCTCTGGTTTTCCAGAAGACCTGAAGGAAAAGGCTCTTTGTCGCTCTTCTCAGTAGCTCTGGGTGTAGCACGAGGTTTTCTTTTCATGAGATTGCAGCGCTGTCTGGCAGTCAGCAAACCCCATTGACAGTAGCCTCCTTGCAGACCTACCCTAAATGGGCTGTAACAAACCACTTGGTAACAAATTACTCTTTTCTCCAGTAATGTTGTTGTGTGACTTCTGAGATTTTCCTAGCCCAAAAGGATCTTCCCCAGCAACCTCTGGACAGGTCAGGCTTGTAAAGAAACCTCAGAAACCCTGATTTTTGAGCTTGTGCAAAACCAGTTTATGCCAGAAGTGCCTGTTGATTTATCATAGGTTTTAAGTCATAGATCGGGGTGCTATTATAATAAATGTAGGGTAGAAGGTGGTTCCTGCACTGTGTGGCTGAAAAATGTCTGTCTACTCCCCTGAGGGATGAGTTTTCTTAGATGAGAGATGATTTTTTCAAAAGCAATAATCCAGACTCTGGAAGATACAGAAGCATTGTGCAGATTTGCTAAAGATTGCTGCTTTACTTAGCATGTGTGAAAAACGCCCTGCCTCTCGATGCCCCAAGCATAAATAAAAGAGAAGTATTGCTCTGCATGTGCTGGTGCATCCACGAGCAAGTGAGAACACTTGTGTGCCGGTAAGGAGGGATCCTGCAAGGGTAGTAATCTCGTCTCGTTTGTTCTCTCCAGTGCTACAACTGTGAAGAGGAGGCCATGTACCACTGCTGCTGGAACACTTCCTACTGCTCCATCAAGTGTCAGCAGGAGCACTGGCATGCCGAACACAAACGTACCTGCCGCAGAAAAAGATGAAAGAGTTGTGACTCCCCTAGAAAACCACCCCGATGATTGCTATTCTCAGACACAGCGGTTTTTGTTTCCAAGAAGCCAAAATTGTTTAGAATTTGCTTCCCATTTTGCACCAGCCTTTAAACACTTTTCGTAAATGAAATTTTGCACAGTAATTTCAATCTTCTGTTTAATGCTCCTCCAAAATTTTGTCGGCAAAATGAATTTAACATCTGTGGGAGCAGGTTACTTTAAATAATTTTAAACTAGAGGATTTGTTGCATTTTCAGCAAATTTTAAAACATTTTTAGGTTTTACAGAGATTTTAATCTTTAAAAACAGCAGATCTAAAGATAAAAAAGTCATGCAAGTTTAAAAAAAAAGAACGTTTAAAAACTAGATCTGAATGTAAGAAATGTAGAACTGTTACAGAAAAACAAAGCATACTACCTTGATGTAACATTTATTTCTTAACCTTGTTGAGCTGGTTTTGTTCAGCTTAATTTTACTGTTTAAAGGCATTATCTATTGGTTATACCAGTGGGTACATGATTGAATTTGGGAACAGGGTTGACACAGCAGGTGCTAGTCCTGCGTATTTTTTCTTAAATATTTCCCAACTGTGTTTTATTTTCATTATTTCTTTTCAATATATAACTTTTATAACAAAATATTAGCTTTGATCTTGTAGTTTAAAATCACAGGGAACTGGGGTAATCTTTTACTGAGCTGGATCTTAGAGAAAAATGAATATTTAAATTTCGAAGTTTGCACATTTCATCTTTGTCCTAACATGAGTGCTTGTAACAAGAATAAGAAAAGCCAAAAAAACAACAAAAAAACCCAACTACCTTTATTCATACATGGAATTATGAGGCAAATTTCTTTATTGTGCCCCCCTTCAGCCTCCCCAATCCAATGTCATTTGACTGCCTATGATCTGGTGTCACCTGGTCCATTGTAACTTGATAATAAAAAGAGAAAAAGCACTTAAGTTTCACAGAAGCCGTTATGTTTGTAGTAATGGGTCATTGCCTAATAATGAGCTCCATCACTGTACTCAGAATGAAGAATAATGCATGTTAATTTTCTTGTATTAAAGATGCCGTGATTTGTAAAAAGTCTGTATTTTGCGGAATGTCTGGATTAAGAAGCATTACCAATAGGAATGGATCGATAGTTGAAAAATGATTTTCTTTTTTGTTTGTTTTATATATAGATATATGAATTGCATCCATGTTCAGAGACAATTTTTTAAATAGATGTAAAGCTTACTTAAATAGCTTTTCTTTTAAAGTGTCTCCGCATTTTAGTTTCTTTAAAAGATTGGTCTTAGACTGAGTCATATGCCCATTAATCATCCAGCTATTTTTTGAGAAGTTAGAGGAATAATTTGTAAATATTTATTTAGATCTTTGATATTTATTGAAAGCAATTACATGATGGAACGATGGAAGCTGAAGAATCAGGAGGAGAGCCTTTAAAAAAGTTTTCTCTAGGATTTGTCAGGGTCATTGTAAAGATGAAAATATAACTAAGACTTCTGTGAACTACCACTGGAATCCTGATCATTTTTACTTACAGTGGTGATATAAGTTAATTGACTAGATACTGCCAAATAATGCCCAATATGTTGCAGAAATTAAGTGGTAAATTGATTGGAAAAAATAGTAAGTAGATGGTAACTTGTATTACCACAGCTACATTATTGCCTGATAAATGTGTAATTAACTTTTGTCGCCTCTGTGTTGTGACTGTAAAACACTTCACAACTAAAAATCAATCTTGTTCGATTACTTTACAAGTTCCAAAACTTCGATCCACCCCTATGAAAGCAAGTTATTGTGGAAATATTTTTGGTGTAAAATCATTCCAGAATATGTAATATTTATCTGATAGCTGCATGAAAGTAAGATTCGTGTTACTTTGGCTTTTTTGTCTCTGTTGACACGGTTGCACATTTCCAAGTTACTACAGCGTGAAAACTGTGTGTTTTAAAGAAAAAAAAAACAAAACAAAACAACAAAAAAAAAAGATTGTGGCCTGGTTTTGTATAAGTTTTAGGTAAAATTACAATTGATTGTTTTAGGAATCATGATTTAAAATTAATTTTTCTGCAAATCATAAAGCTATATTAAAGTGTTGAGCTTAGCCACTATGCACATTGTAATTATTCATTGTGGCTGTCCAGTTTATGATGCATTCTGGCATTTTGTAAGCTGCTCTGACTAGCAATATATAGAGTCATTTAATGTGTTAACATTGGTTAATAAATGTATTTAAAAAAACCCTCACGGAAAGTGTCTGTGTTGATTTTGGCCAGTTGTCCGCCAGTTGTCCTCACGCCCTTGGGTGGGCACTCACGAGGCAGCTATTTTTACTTGTCCTCACCTAAAAAGACCGGGGCTGCGGATGGGGGAGCTGGGCCTGAACTCACGGGGCCCTTGCTCCTGGCTCGAGGTGAGCTGGCAGGTCCACACGAGGGCCTGAGCATTTCACATGGCTCTCAGCTCCAAAAGCGAATCTTTTCCGGGGACTGCGGTCATCATGTCCTGGTGGTAATGCCAGGGTGGGGCTCGCAGACCCCCGTCTCCCTGTGCTGCCTCTCACCAGCGTCCCCACTCTGCCTCCTCCCTACCCCAGTCACCAACCCTTAGCCTGTGCCTGTTAGACATTTTATTAATGAATTTTCATCTGGTGGGGCTGAGAGGACTCTGTGAATCCAGCTCTAGCCTGAACAGTGTCAGCATTTCTCTCACAAAATGCAGCCCTGAGAAGCAGTTTCTCTCTCTCGCACTTATTTTCAAAATCAGGACTTGCTGCCCGCAAGGTGCCCGAGGGAGCCAAGGGCCCATGCTGGTGCTGCTGCCCACGGGGCGTGTCCCACAGCCACCCTCAGGAGAAAGGGCCGTTTGGGGACCAGCCACAGGCAGGGAGGTTTGTCCTGGAGCCCCAGTGTGACTGCAGGGCTGCAGGAGAGACACTGGGAATTGGCTTCTCTGTGGCAATTCAGAATTTCCCTGTGTGAATTAAGACCTGCTAGTCCCAGGGGGAAAAAAGAAAAAAATGTATTTTAAATATTTAAAGATCCCTCAAAACTCTCTCATTATTTTACTATCCAAACTTTTCTGTTTTCACATGAATCACAGAATTTTACCTGAGTGCAAGTTTTATTCATTCATCTTGATGAAACTCGATTGAATACCAATAGCCAGCATAGGGCACATGTTGCAAATGAATCATTTATGCTGAAACAAGCCAGCAAAGCGAGGTCGGGAAGAGGCAGCGCCCCTCCCTGAGCTCCCTTTCCCAGGCCACCTCTCATTTGGGTGATGGTGGTCAGCCTCCAAGCACAGCACTGACTGCTCACCAGCACCCCACTCACAGAAGACCCTGGTGGAAACGCTCCCCAGTTCCCCTCCCCAAGTGCATTTGCTGATTCAGGTGCCACCAGTGGGACCAGTATCGGGACCAAGCAGGTTAAATGCTTTGGACGTGCCACGGCAGCTTCCCACCCCCATCGCTTAACAGGGGTTCTCTGTACCCCTCTGTGCAGACCTGCTGTGCCCCATCACACGTCCCATGCTGGGCCCTATCACCACCACCCCTGCAAAGCAGAGGAGGATATTTGTCCTTCCACTGCCCCAAATCTGCAAATTTCGTTCCACCAGGAACCTTAGGATGAGCAGGGGTTTCTGTGAGCTGCTGCATCTTCACCACGCAGACAGGGCTGGATCTTAGTGCTCCCAGAGCATCAGTCTTGAAGGCATTATTTAGCATTTTATTGTTGGCTTTTCCTATTTTTTGTCATGATTATTATTACTATTGTTGTTATTGCTAACATCATTATTATTATTAATTTTAACTCTAGCTATAATTTTATTTTAGTAAGGAGGAACAGTGGTTTCTGCCTCCTACTTCCTTTAGGTGGAGTGAGCTGCCCAGCTCAGGGCTTGTTTGCCTTTTCAGATCCTACGTGACTGAGTATGTGAAATATGTTTGGGATTTGTTACCAGTAGTTAGGGGCTACCCAGCCTATTTTAGCCTCAGAGTGAGAGCAGATAGGCAATATGTGCACATGCTTTCATAAATCAAATTGGTGGGGGGTGGGGGGGTGTATCAAAACCAGAAAGTCCCTTCTTGCATTGTTTCATGTTAAAGAAATTCAATTGCAAGTGGAAGTATTCAGCCATTTGTGATAATAATACAGTATTTTTAGTTTTAAGTGGGAGATGTTTATAGCTAATGTAAAAGAAGAAAAAAAGAAGAAAAAAACCAAAAGCAAAAACAAAAACCAAACTATCTTGGACCTTCCAGAAACCTAAAAAAAACTGTCATATTTTATCTTAATAAAACCTATTTCCAGATGTCATAAGGCTCAAAAGTATGTTAGACTCTGACTAACACTGTTTAAAAAAACCAAAAACAAACAAACAAAAAAAAAAACAAAAAACCCCACAAAAAACCAAAACAAAAACAAAAAAAACCCACCAACAACTTGGGTTAATAAAGATTTGGAATTCTAAAGTCAGAAAAAGAAAGAGAACCCAGACAAAATTAAATTGCCCCTCCTGCTCCCCATGGCCATGCCTGCCCCAGCACCTTTCCAGCCCCACAGCTGTGAAGTGCAGAAAGATGCCTCCAGGCATGGCAAACAGCAATGGAGGGCTGATATTAAATACAGACTTTGCTTTGCAGATAATTTATATGTAGAAGGGGGCTAATAATTGAAGATAATATAGAAGAAAGGCCAGGAGAGTGAAAACGGGCCATGCTAAAAGGCAGAGCCATGCGTTTGTTTACAAAGTCACTGGCCAGTGTCTGTTGACTCCCTGGAAGTGAAACTAAGCTGGCATAAGACTTCAATGGAAATAGGATTTGCCCCAGAGAGGTACCTAAAAATAAACTTGAGTTCTTACAGAGAAGAAGAACTGTGAAGCTGGTAATGTGAAATGCTTTACCAGTGTGTGGAAAAGGACTTCTACAGCCAGAACACTGCTATCAACTACTTTGTTAAGAGGAAAAGTATCTTTCGCAACCAACCACTGCAGGTGGCTCAGGACCCTGCTTGCTGCCACATGAGGTCTCTGCCTCTCCTCCACTCATGCTCCCATGGCAGGAGCGTGTGGCAGCCAGCTCTCTGCAGGGCTGGTGCTGAGCCACGATCCTGCCATGCTTGGCCACAGCAATGCACTTTTGTCCCTTGTAACAGGGCCTTCAAGGTGAAAAATGGCTTCACTAAAAGCAAAAAGGGAGCCAATCCCTTGTTCACATCAGCTCTCAAAGACCCTGTCATTAGGAAAAAGGCTTTAGCCTGGTGTGGGCCACCTGGGCTGGGCTGGCCAGGGCTGATCAGGGCACCCTGTTAACCATTCTCCTTAGGAGGAATAAGAGCCGCTCCCACATGTGACAGCTGTGCGGGTCTGGGGTGCTCACAACACTTGATCAAGTGACAGAGCCTTTCCCTGTCTTTTCACAAGCCTGTAAAGACCACGAGTGCCAGAAAGCCTTTTTGGTTTTCCCCTGAAGAAACAAATTCAGTGCAATTCAGTATTTTTTTTCTGAGGATGCTGGAGCCATCAGCACTTTAACTCTGGGCTCCCTAATGTCAATGGCCACTGCAGCAGTGAGCAAGTGCTCCACGCTGAGCTGTTGGGCACCAGTGCTGGATGCTGAGCTGGAGCCGAGGACTGCTCACCCTCTCCCACCAGCAGCATGGCCGCTGTATCTCTGTGCAGTATTTGGATGGGTGCAAAAAAAAGACCTCAAGCCTTGGAGTTTATATTTCCCTCCAGTCAGTTTTTAGGGCCCAGAAGGGGAGCAGGAGGCAGCTCACACAGCTGGTCCCAACCATGGGGTGCTGGGTCTGTCCTGCAGTGCCATGCCAACACAACGGTGCTGCCACTGGCTCCAGTCGAGAAAACTGAGAGTCACCTCAAGCTTGGCCCAGTGCAGGAGCCTCCTTTTAAAAGCTGTTGACAATAGTAAGCACCAGCTGCTGCAGAAAAGTCCCATGCAGGGGGCAAGCCAGGAATTCAAGCTTAAGAAGCTGTATACAGGCAAAGGAGGAAGAAGAGAAAGGCCATTTTCATTTGCCCATCCAGAAGTTGCAGTAAGAAAACGGGGTGGCAATTCAGTATGAGGCTGAAATCTGTCTTTCTGCATGTTGGCACCTTAGAGCTTTTGAACAAAGTCACTTTACAACACGACAGCAGTCACTAGGGTCTGCTTGCACAGATGTGTAGCTCAGCTGTAGGGTTAGAGACACCCATCAGGACATTTCTGAGCATGTTTTACATGGGCCAACTCTATAATCTCCATTAATATGACTCAGAAAGAATCATAAAATGGTTTGGGTTAGAAGGGATGTTAAAGATCACCTAATTTCAATCCCCCTGCCATAGGCAGCGCTTCACTAGGGCTGACTGGATAAAAGAAGTGCAGAACTGGATCCAAAGGAGTAACCATGGGATTGGGAGCAGGGCAGGGATTTTTTTTTTTCTTTGACTTTCTTTTATCCTATACTTTTAAATTTTTCTTAGCAACCTCTTAATCCATGGTTTGGTTGGCTTGATCCTGTGGGCAGAACAGAAACGTTCCTGTGCAAATACACTCACAAAGGGCAGGGGAAGCTCTACAAAGGCTTTTTGTGGAACAAACACTGCCTTGAAGGGAATTTCAGCCAAATTTTTTACCATTTATCAAGCTCAAGTTCATTGCACAATCACATCCCTCCGACCTCAAAGGTTGTGTGTGAATCCACTGGTGTCACAAAGCAGGGCTCCTCGCCTTGCTCATCCCTCATGGGGCACACCTGGACTGGGGTGCTTCTCCAGCCCGGACTTCCCCCATGAACTGGGATGCAGGGTATCAGCTTCATGTCAGCTGAGTGGGACTGATCGTGCTGAACTTCAGAAGAGCCCTCCGAGATGTTTGTGTACTTCCTAACGGGAACCAAATGGGCATGGCGAGGAAGCCGTGTAACTCCTGTTGCTCTTTATGAGCCCTAATGAAAAAGCTCTCCCTTTGAGATAGAGTCAATCCATATTCAAAAACGAAGTCAAATGTGGGCTCAGGGATTTTTTTGT